GGTAAAACGACATCGGCGCACAACCTCTTCGCTTTTCTTTCTAGCCGAGTATGTCAACCAATCCATTAAATATAATTATTTGTTCAGTCTTTGTCAGGCATTTGGCGAAGAGCGATTTTGTCGTACTGCTACCAGTTCGCCAACGTCATTGTCCAACTGCTAGCACATCCGCGACAAAATGAAAAGATTTTTGAGCATTGTTAAGGTAACTTGTTGGTCATCCTATAAAATTGACGAGGAAAAATACCGAACAGTTGCCGAATTGAAAAAGCAACTTACAAAAAGATTGGCCCTACGCCCAATTAGATGCATATGCAATTACAGGCGAATCATTTTCATGAATTTCACCTCATCCGCGAGACTGTACGAGGAATTTTTAGGGCAATGAATGCGCTGGACTGGATGAAAAGCGAACGTAAGTCGATGGAAAGGGAGAGTAGAAGAACACAAGTCGGTCAAATGTTTTTGAAAAATACCTTAGTCCTTATGTTGATCTTGGGCGGTGGGCGAGTTCCAACAACTACTAGCATTATCACAGTAAACGCCGTGCTCTGCCCCTAGAATACAGACGGACAAAGGCAGCGCTGAGGTCGCAATTTTGGGCGGTGCGAATCTAGGGCGAAGGTCAGAGAGTGATTACTTCTTAGGTTGCGCTTTCGTTCGTGCCTTACACTATAAAAACCTGCACGCACTGCTTGCTTAGGCACTTGCCTTCCCTTTCTAGTAGGCCCTCACCCCATATGGAAAGCCAGCTTTCATTCGCAAGTACTGCTTCCAGGACCACAGAGCGCAAGCCTTAAAAAATGAATAAGTTAAACAAATAGTGGTACGAAACCCTGCTCCAGTCACCCTAGTTTCCAGACCTCTCCCCCACCGATCACCATTTCTTCATGAACCCGCAAACTTCCGAAGTAGAAAAGCTTCAGTAGTCAAGCCCAGATGATAATTGACTTCAACGATTGCATTGCCCCAGTCAAAGGTACGAGTTAATTATTTCCCTTATAACCTCACATATTGGAGCGAAGTTATTCATCGCAGTTGCAAAGTTTTATCTCGTTATTACTTTCAAGGGTGTTCGTGTGTCGGTCCGTGAAATGTTTGGAAGTGATAAGGAGAGGGATAAGAGATGCCTTCAGTCAATGTGATAGAAAGAGTTCACTAAGCAGGATGGATAGTTTCTCTCAAGACGCTTGAGGTCACCCGGCAGAGATTAGCACCGGTGCGCCGGCATTGCGGTTTGAAGGGAAGCAGAGGAGAATGGGATGTCCGTTGCGAGAAGACTGACAGGGCCACGCACATCGGATATCGGTCCGAAATGACTCTGAACGCAAAATAAATCTTTACCTGCCGTTTTACTGATGAATCGATTAATTACTTGTAATAATAACCATAGCCAAGTAAATGCTCAGCATTGCAATTTTCATCAAAGCTGCCTTTTCTTCCCCTGAAAAACCCTTCTATATCCTTGTTCATTTGTACGCTTACCTGATCCTTCTACTCGAACTAAATCCTTCTATACTTTGAAGATATTCGAGTACAGAATAATTTTTAAGTTGTCGTATCTAATGACTTGTATGTGAGTGCTAATCAATTGAAACAATTTTAATTAGACGGAAAAAGCTAAAAATATGCTGACCTCTATGGCATCTTTCACCAGTGGTAGGCTCAAACGGGTCCAGTTCATGGCATGACAATCACTCTTAAATTGACCTTCATAGAGAATTTATTAGGAAAAATATTCTCGCGCACCTTTAGTAAGATTCACATTAGAAACAGTCCGCAAAACATAGACCAGGCTTTGCTTCTATTATGTTTCAACCTAGGGAAGGTGGAAGATTCCGAGTTGAATGTACGATTTTATGAAGGCTCTTCACTATTGTTTACACAACGCGCCCATAGTTCACAATAAGATAGGCCCTCTGGGTACAAGCGCGCGAAGTAATAGAGCCCAGCTTTACTGTTCTGGAAATGATATGGCCATAAGCGCAGAGGAAGTAGTCGGAGATTTTTAATTATGTACTTAGGGCTCTAGTATGAGCCCGCTAAACATAAAACACTATCACCAGGAGCCATGTTAGACGATATCAAGACGAGATAGCTTAGAGTCTAAACGGCGGGCGTAGAGAACTCTTCGAGTTTTGGGAGTCACAGTGGCCGATACCTTGTAATACTGCATCCCGATTTTTCTGAAAAAGTTTATGAATAGAGCAAAGAGTGCTACCAAAAGCCACAGACCCTCTGGAGAGCATGGGATTCTCGAGTGTTAGATCAACAAACTTTGACCCCAATCTCGGTTTCCTAACTTTCTTGTGAATATGAATGTCCAACGGCATGGCTGCCGTTACCAACTAGCTCATTCGTCACTTAGAGGTAGTGTTCACAAAAGGCTTGTGTGTACTGGGGATATATTAGGTTGCCCGAGATAGAAATGTCGTTTTGGATCACCAATAAATTTCACTGTGAAAGCAACAACAAAGCACATAACCCTGAACTGTGTCCTTCATCTTGAACTGTTGATTCTCTCCGCTCTCTGTGCAAGGAATGGATGAATTTCTTCGATAGAACTGTCTCGGGTGCGACTCGAGGAAGCTCTGCACTAAAATTTTTACCTCGGCGAAGTTGAACTTATTCTTGGCCAAGATGTGCGTGTTGACCGAAGAACGGTAAGGCGAAGGCAGCAAGTACTGCCCTCTTAATTGGCACGTATATTCTTTTTATTCGGTTGCTTTTGGGGTATTTCACAACATGGGAAGGTTCTGCGCTTTTGTGCATCAATTTCAGATCGCACAGAATGACCCCTTGATTACGTAGCTCTTGGTCCAAGCAGGCGACTGCCAGTGTGCGCAGAGTTAAGCAGTAACTGCCTAACCTACGATCAACAATTCAATCTACACCAGTTCCGTAGTGTCCTGCAATACAAACAGAACCTTGCTCCGTAGATGTCCGATTTCGGAGCTTGTCTCAGCTGTAAATCCGCTATACCAACCACTGCCCGTTCTTTTCACGTATTTGTTAATCGAGAGCATCCCTTTCCACCTCACAACGAGACAGAACACTCTTTTCTATTAGTATGGGAAGCGTGTGAGACAAAGGTTCCACCGGTGGCGAGCATGCACTTGCTTCGCTTCACTAAGGAGATGTCGAATTCATTTTCCGTACCGATTGACCTTACTAATCGAAACTAGAGGCTTTCAAACTTCAGTGTTGACGCATTCAAACCTTCGTGCAAGTTTTTGTGTAATTTGACAATGGCTCGACTCGACAATCTTTTTTAGCACTTTATTATTAAAAGCTCAGGTCGGTGTGCATGCTTCTCGTCCTCACGACATTTACCTCCCACAGTCTTTTGGCAAATGAAGCCATCATTCCCTTACACTCAATACATCCTGCTGTGCACCACAAAACGATCTCTTGAACAAGTACACGCATTCGCGAAATGTTATGTTTGTATAGAACAATGTCACAAAAAAGAAGCAACATTTCTTTCAGCCAACCCTAATATGTATGTGCCCCCCCCAACCTTTCGAAAAGCAGTATTAAAGTGCCAAGGAAATGATCCGTGTGGTAGCGCTGTCTTTCATGGAGTTCCTCTTGTTCGCTAAAGCTAGTCCTCGAAAACCGCCCCCTCCCCTAAACTTCTTTCACCTGCCTGAGCTGAGTTGCGGTCTTGATTTTGCCTAGCTGTTTGCTAATAACGGCATCGCTTACTCCTTGATTGAAGGGACCCTGTGACTCAGGAGCCGTACCTTCAACTGTATCTTGTGAGGCGTTATCATTTAGAAGCCTCACCTTGCCTGTCATATTACCTCTTGGTCGCCGCTTATCCTTGGCGAAAACGAATGGGCAAATAAAGGGTCCCAGTTCCATAATCTCGACAAATTTCTCGACTTTTTTTCGCCACTGGTGTACCATCGAGCAACCCCTCTCCCCCTGAACCCTCTCCAGAACATGTCGTAATCGCTTCTTTTGATTCAGAGTTAGTTGGTTTTCTATCCTCTAATCTAAAACTTGACTAACGATCTGTAGCTTATAAAGGTAGGGGTTAACACTATACGAACGACTTAATCACAGCCTGAAAGTGTTCTGGATCCAACTGTAAATGAGTACCTTTGCATGAAAAGATTACACGTATGTTGGGCAGGTGGCTTAGTAATGACAGCTCATCTCCTCCTTTTCGTCCTCACGACCTGCCTGGGCATGGAAATCATTATACGGTGAGTAAACTGGCAATTTGATTCTATCTTAGTATCAAAGTTGACTGGTTTAGAGTGCCCTCGCGAAGCACAAAGGGAATCCCGATTAATTTGAATAGTGCGGCTGGACAACTAGTGAAGAAATTCCACCATAGATCGACCACGGCTAGCGACTACAACGAACGGCTTAACAACGACGGGGATGTGAGATGTCACAAGTGGGTGCTTTTGGCTTCTAAGTTTTTAAAGTAGTGAACATTTAGAGATCATATTACGGCACCATCCAAATCGGAACTCCTCCTCAGACATTCGGAGTTATTTTCGACACTGGTTCGGCCCTTCTGTGGATTCCTTGCGCGAACTGTGTTGCCTCAGACACTGCTTGTCGTACTCATCGAAGGGTGAGGTTACTACTGCCGAATTTTGTCGCACTTACAAGGGAAGATGGTAGGTCGAAGTAGCTGTTCGGAATGAGATGTATGCCACCTGATGCACCTTCAAACGCTGTTCTCCAAGCTGTATTTCATATCTGTTGAATGTCTCCCTGCACGAATTCACGCAGCTTTCGTCACATGCGGTGGGATGATTAGCCTGCCGCTGTCAGGGTCATGCACCTTTTGGTTCTGAGATCGACAAGTTGGGTGAGGGTAG